TATATATATATATAATAAACTTATTTTAAAATATTTAAAACAATTTTAGATGTAATGCATAAAATGTATTATCTATATATGTATGTATGTTTTAGAATATTTGTTTATTTTTAAGTATGTGTGTATATATATATATATATATGTTAATGCATATACAAATCAAATACTTGATAGGACTAGGTGTTTAAAATCCTAACAATTCAGCACAGTACTAGCCTTGACTACTTTGGAGAAATCTTAGGTGGATTGACTTGTTGCTGCACTCCTGAGGGATAATACAAAAGAAAAGAAAATAAGAGGAAAAGCCAGGACCAGATCTTCACACCAGTGTGACACATCATCAGTTGTGTACTACTGCTTCATGAGATGTTTCGGCCTTTTATCACAAGACACCTCAGCAGAGGCAGGCCCACAACAGGCTAATCAGGCCTGGTGTGTATCGTGTGGTGACTAAACTGGTTATTTGCTGGCCCACACTGCCTACAACCAGTGACTGCTTCTTTCGGCGGCAGTGGCAAGTTCCTTAATTGCTTTCCGCTGGGCCTGACCTCTGATACCCACTTCCTTCAGCAGCCTTATTGTGGAATTGGCTACAAAGCCCTTGTAGCCCACCTCCACTGGACGCACCTTCACCTTCCAGCCATGATTCGCTGCTTCAGCTGCCAACTCGTTTCGTAAGCCTCCACGATACCCTCCTCCCAAGGGACTGTGAGCTCCACGATGAAGACACAATGGCAGGAGTTTGACCAGAGAACCAGATCTGGAAGCAGATTGGTCACTGCGATTTCAGGTAGGAAAGTTAGTCTCTGGTTTGGGTCATTTGCCAGTCCCTAGCTGTATTCCGCAGACAAGAGTTAGGAAATGAAGACTTGGTTCGTTGTTTTTCTCCTTTCTTGGATAAAAGGCGTTAATTGCGTGAAAGACGTCTGGCCATCTAGGGAAATGGCATTGCTTGACACTCTCTTGTCCTCTAATGCTGAGGGCAAGCACCGCAGTACTTAGTTGTGACGCCTTGCTGGGCTTGAGAGGGGCTCTTGCACATCTGGCTGCTTCCTCCTGGTGGCGCACCTCCACCAGGTGCCGGTGTTCATATGGTGTAGCTTTTTGCCATGGGGG